CCATATATGCAATAAAGTTCTTTGGCGTAGGCCCCGTCCGTAACTCGCGATCCGAGGGTATGGATTCTGCATATCCTGCCTGAAGATGAAGGCAGGGGCGCAGCCGACCCCCACTTGGAGTTTTGGAAGGGACCGACCTGGTGGTGGTGGTGAGAAGGATGGAGCAAAGACCGTCTTGGTGGAGGTGGGGAGGATGGTGGTAAGTGAAGCGTCAGCATCTGCGAACTCAGACAAGTGCAAGTAAGGGTCTTTTATACTTCACGTATTAGAACGTGATTGGATAGATGAGAAGGTAATAAAGACGTGACAATTGAGTCTTCCTGGCAGAACTTCCGCTACGCTTTCATTTCTACCAGAAAGACTCGGGAGATAAGATACTGTACGATAAAACATTTTATTAACAGCCCAGCAAGCCATATATGCAATAAAGTTCTTTGGCGTAGGCCCCGTCCGTAACTCGCGATCCGAGGGTATGGATTCTGCATATCCTGCCTGAAGATGAAGGCAGGGGCGCAGCCGACCCCCAAAAATGAGTGGAAGAATAGTTCCACTGGACGAAACCCACCCCCAAAGAACATGAAAGAAAAGTATACCCACCAGAAGCATGTTATGTGGTTCCTAAAATAGAAGAAGAAAAAGAGTTAGCAACAGGTAGTCAACATGGGTATATCAATTTCCATGGATAGTAGAGTTCCATCGATATTGCAGTGGGAACGGAACTCTACGATCTAAAGTCGAGCATGCTTAACTTAATATGAAGACACTTTTCTGCTGCTAAATTTCATGAGACATTTACGCATTTACTCACGCTTAAAATTAATTTATCACTTATTTATTTAATATATACGAGGCCGCGCTGAGCCACATAAAACGAGGCCACACTGAGCCACATAGAAAGGGCCACGCTGACCCACATAAACAAGGCCATGCTGAGCCACATAGACAGGGCCACGCTGACCCACATAAACAAGGCCATGCTGAGCCACATAGACAGGGCCACGCTGAGCCACATAGACAGGGCCACGCTGAGCCACATAGACAGGGCCACGCTGAGCCACGCTGAGCCACATAGACAGGGCCACGCTGAGCCGCATAAACAGGGCCACGCTGAGCCGCATAAACAGGGCCACGCTGAGCCACATAGACAGGGCCACGCTGAGCCGCATAGACAGGGCCACGCTGAGCCGCATAAACAGGGCCACGCTGAGCCGCATAGACAGGGCCACGCTGAGCCACATAGACAGGGCCACGCTGAGCCACATAGACAGGGCCACGCTGAGCCACATAGACAGGGCCACGCTGAGCCACATAGACAGGGCCACGCTGAGCCGCATAAACAGGGCCACGCTGAGCCGCATAGACAGGCCACGCTGAGCCGCATAAACAAGGCCACGCTGAGCCGCATAGACAGGGCCACGCTGAGCCCCATAGACAGGGCCACGCTGAGCCGCATAGACAGGGCCGCGCAGAGCCGCATAGACAGGCCACGCTGAGCCACATACAGGCCACGCTGAGCCCCACAGAGACGAGGCCGCGCTGAGCTCCACAGAGACGAGGCCGCGCTGAGCCCCACAGAGACGAGGCCGCGCTGAGCCCCACAGAGACGAGGCCGCGCTGAGCCCCACAGAGACGAGGCCGCGCTGAGCCCCACAGAGACGAGGCCGCGCTGAGCCCCACAGAGACGAGGCCGCGCTGAGCCCCACAGAGACGAGGCCGCGCTGAGCCCCACAGAGACGAGGCCGCGCTGAGCCCCACAGAGACGAGGCAACGCAGAACCATACAGAGATAAGGTCATGTTAATCGACGCATAGACTAGGTTCGCTGAGCCGCTAGGCTGCTAGAAGCCAGCCCCCTAAGGACCATATAGCCAGTGATGGCGCAAGGCGAATTATTCGAGCTGAAACTATCACCAGATAGATAAAGCATACACCACCACCAGTAATTGCATAGGAATTTACCTGAATCGTTACTGCAATGCTTGCTGGGCTTCGAGAATGATCTTTAGATCGGGTCTTATATAACTCCGCTGCAGAGGAGGACCGTCTGTCCAGGATCTTAATAACTGAAGTGGAACGCCACGATCAGCTGCTGTAGTGGCTGCCCAGATCCTGAAGGATGACCAGTATACTGGGAGGGAGATGGACTGCAGCTATAGAGGACAGGACTGACGAATCCTGAACCAGGTTAAAGATTAGTGCTCTGTTAGTTATGATAGATAGTAATTTGATCGTAGATGAGAAGGGACGGAATTTAATCCCAATTTATAAATTGATAATATGATGCAAAGCCTTTATAGTCATTCTTTGAGGAAGGAATTAGGTGAGGAACGAAATTAGAAAAGACCGTGGGGAAAATCTGGAGTATTTAGCACCTGGAATGAGCCATGAATGCTGTAACAGACAGCTATAATCTTATAACGATAAGAAGGGACCACTGCAGACAGACGTAATCAAAAGGGGTTGAGTGGATTTTGCTTTCTGACTTGGAGTGTAATGCTGCTGTTTTAAGCATAACCAACATCTGCAAGGTTAAACACTCAAAGTTCAAACAGTGGAAGAATTCATTTGAAAATTGCTTTAAAGAATACAACAGTGCTGGGAGGAGCTAGTAACATTCCTCCTGGGTTAGTTCATCACAGCCTAAGTATAATTGATCCTGCCAGCAGGACATGATATATAGAATATCGAGCCAGAATAACCTAACTGGTGACTAGAGATAACTACGCATGAGCTACATAATCCATCAACGACCATCTGGAATGTTGACTATGTTAACACTTCCTGAGACTCCATCTTATGCGATTCCAGTTGAACAAGTGAAAAAGTTAAAATGTCGGTGATAGTAATCGAAGCTGCACCGAGCTGTTGAAACTCCGATCCCTGTGCTGGAGGCAGCAGCCCTACCACATCCAAATGTGGAGGCGAAACAAGATGCTTACTCACCCTCGAAATGACCATTACTACTCAATTATTTTTGAGGCATTCTGGGCAAAACCCAGCATACCCGTGCATATCCTGCGAAAGAAAGGAGGCACAATTATACTTTTTTTTTTTTTTTTTTTTTTTTTAATACTAAAACAATGTGATTGTCGAGCATTACCAGAGTTTATTTATTTATTATTATTTAATTAAATATTTTTTCTCAGGTGTACAGCAAATGTCTGCCATGGCTCCCAAGTTGCTCATTGCAGAAATAACCCCATACATAGCTGGAAGACGCTGGCCACGACAGTTGAGATTCTTGAATAAATGGTGCGTAGACATGAAAATCACGCAGTTGACTAAGACAATGTCACTCGAGTCTCCTTCACTGATAAGTGGTATACTAATATGATTCCTGAGTTGGCAGTTTTTGGCCAAGTATATGTAACTTTAAACGGCGCCACACAACTCCTTGTTCCTTTTAGTCTGGGTTTATGTGAAAATGCCCCTCGCATAAATGATTCCTATAATGCATATCAGTAGATTAAGTAGCCGCCAGAAAGTTAAGTTTTACATCAACACATTCCGATGTTATTTATATAATTTGAAGTATAACGTGACTTTATGAATTTAAAGTAGCCTAATAGGTGAAATAGTTGTTTGTGAAATTACTATTACGCTAATATGTAAATTACTGCCATCCTAGTCCACTGCAGTATGCATAAAGGCCAATGTTAACGTGCTTTTGGTTTTTAAATACACACGCAACCGAACTCTGGTGAGGAATTAAAGCGAACGTTAAGAAGCGCAATCCTATATGCATAAAGCTCTTAAGCACTCTTAAGCTTATTTGAACACAGTTTTGGTGGGTATTAACAAACAGAGCATGGCATTGAAAAAGCTGATATAATTAAATAACCACATAACTGTGGAATATCAGTAACGCGAAGCTTTGCTTACACTTGCTACGAGCATGCGAGCTATCCGGCCCCTCTGCAGACCGCAGATCAGCGTAATAATCAGAACACGCCACGTCATCGTAGACACCAATTTCAACTCAGCCGTGTAGGAAGCAACGGAGAAATACTTACCGGAATGAAGTTTAATCTTGTAGAGGAGACACATTAACAGTGGCTGCTGGAAGCACCTACCAAAAATACCAAAAACGACTTGAAAGCCTTGGAAGTGAAGTTTGAACTTGAACCAGTGAGAGATCGTCTCGTGATTTGCATAGTTGTTATTTCACGTCGGTGGATCGGTGATCTGCGGGATAAATGGCACCAGTCTAAGGAGCAGAATTTCTCATGAAGGCCTTGGCTGATCAATACTCTCCGAAGACCGCTGTGCCTACGGAGAGATGCGATACTGAACGCGGGAACCTCGACGTGCAGCAGGAGGTAGAGCGGGACATAGTCGGATGTCGATATGTAAACAATATGCGTGTCCTGGACATGTTGGCTGGCGACTGAACGAGAGCATAAGTGAAGCGTCAGCATCTGCGAACTCAGACAAGTGCAAGTAAGGGTCTTTTATACTTCACGTATTAGAACGTGATTGGATAGATGAGAAGGTAATAAAGACGTGACAATTGAGTCTTCCTGGCAGAACTTCCGCTACGCTTTCATTTTAATACTCACACTTAGTTTCCTATATTACAATATATTACGAGCTCATCACAAGGAAAAGACATCCTCAGGAAAGGAGACATATTAAACACAAATGTAGAGGTTTAATTAAGAAAATAAGTAGAAATAATTCAAAAAGAAAAACAATCACCAAATCAGCTGCATCACACCGAACAGATCATTGATATTACAGTCTGCCTCTGTCCATTACTCAACTTATTGTTATATTTAAAGCAGTTTACATATGAAACACAAGAAAATGACTTTCATCACTACAGGCAAATGTCCATAAAACCCATTCAAATGGAAATAAATCTGGCGTTTTATAAAAATAAAAATAAATTTTAATCTAAGCTTGAACCAAATATTTCTTTAGGATGATCAAGAAGGAAGAAAATAAATCAAACAATCACACAATCATAATTATTGTTGCAGATTCGCTCAAAACTCTGTATTTTATTGTTGTATTGCAGGCATCTCTATTTCTTCCGGGTGTCTCGAGTTCTTCCTCCCTGCAAAATAAAAGCATTGCCTGACCTCTGGTGTGTGTTTATCATGATTGCAGATGTTCAGATCAGACGAGTGTGAATCTTCAGAGTGTGTGCGGCTCAAACTCACCAGCTCTTCTTGCACAGATGATCTGAAGAAGAATCACAGTAGGAGCAGCAAACACTGCCATCTCAACAATACTCACAATCACTGCAGGAAACATGAGAGGAAGAAGAAGAGAAACTGGACATGACTGAAGTCAAGGGTCTCCATCTATCAACAGTTATTGATGAAGCATTTACAGACGGACTGATAGTGTAATGTTAGAAAGCTGTCGGTCTAAATCAACGTGTCGTACCTCTGTATAATAATCCAGCAGTTCCTGTGGGACGTGCTGTTACTGTAGTAGATGTAGTTGAAGTCACAACTATTAGAAAACAAGATGGAAATAGAAATATGTCATATTTTAATGCATGAACACAATATATCCTTTGAGGTTTCAATACTGAATTGATGGAATTATCCGGCTGATTTTACTGTGGTGTGATCAAACCACTGAAGCGAGAGTGATGATGTGTGCCAGTGGTCATGTGATCATGAACCTTGTGTAGGAGCTGTTGCTGTAGTTCTGCTTGATGTCTTCTCAGAGTTTGATCTGCTGACTGGAGTCAGTGTTGTTGAAGAGACTGGAGCTGCAGAAGATGAATGTTCACACACATCACCTGTAGGACATTAACATCATATCTTCACATTGATCATGACATGCAGTTTGTGTTCAATCATCACAGCTTACAGTGGCAGTAGTTGAGAAGAGAGATGTTACTGGATCATTTATTCCTGGTTTATATGAGAGTGAAACACAGTTGAACTGCTTCCCATAAACCTTCAGCTTTCCTGAATGAAGGACATTATTAAGCCGTATAACTCCTAAAGCTGAACTCCTACATGGGTCATACTAGGCTTTAATAGATGTATGCAATATTTCATGGATGACCCATGTAGGAGGTTAATATTGGGAATTATAAGGATTTCTATGCTGTGTGACTTACTGTCCTCTAATATTTTACAATATCCAAACGTATGAAGTCATCATCAAGAGTAGAGCCAGTCTGTGGAAGTTTTCTCAAATCTGTCTTCTAACAGTGTTTCTCACCTGAATACTTGACAGTGTATGTGACTGACGTCTGGAGTTGATTTCTGTGAGTAAGCTGACATCTCCACTCTCTGTTGTTATCTTCATTCAGGAGTGTTGTAGTAAGAGTGATGTTACAGTGATATTGATCTGATGATGATGATGATGATATCTGATATCTGGAGTCTGTCTTCAGATCAACACCAGCCTGATTCACCCACAACAGCTCAACTCCCTCAGAACGAACCAAATAATCACAGGAGAGTCTAAAATATGAATCCAACTGACAGAAGAGAGTCACAGAGCGGCCTGGACTGATCTCAGTCTGTGAGGATGAAGATGATGATGATGATGGAGACACTGAAACTGAACACAAGACACAAATCACAGACTCTTCAATCATCATCTGAGTTTAATAAAGAATCTGCTCTTTTTAAATTGACCAAATAATCATAAACTTACCATGAAGAACATGCAGATAAACACGTGCATCAGTTCCTTGTTTCTGTCCGTTCACAAATTGTAGGCAGTCGTATACTCCATAATCTTCTTCTGTGACGTTCTTGATGTTCAGAGAGCAGTCAGACTCCAGACTCAGTCTCTCATGTCTCTCTGTGTCTTTCTTTATCCCTAAAGTAATCAGTTCAACTGTTGCTGAATGTCTGAAGGTGTTAGAGTAGATCCATGTAGTTGATTTGCAGTCAGAAAGAGTTTTATTACAGGACAGACGGACATCTACACCAGAACTGATGAACACATGATCATCATCCGCTCCACTGGTGCCTGAAACACAAGATATAAACAGGAGATTCCAATATTTCAGTGATAATATATATTATAAAAAGCTGAAGTTTTAAATCATAGTCTTGGTAGATTTGATAAATCCTGTTCCCCCATTATCATTGAATCACGGAAGCAACACCAGTGACTTTATCAAAGATATTTATATTTATTATGTGTCCGACAGAGAGAAACACAGATATATAAGGCTACATGAGATGATGTCATTCCAGATTTCTGTCTTCTCATCCCATCATGCTTTATGTTTCTCTAATGTACTACAGTAAGATTGAGTTTATTAACATCACAGAGAGACTTACTACTTCCTTGTAAGGTAGCAAAACATTTAGCTTATGTTTAGAAATGGAACTTATATGTCATACATGTGGTACTTTCCACTTCTCACATTAAGAGTCTCAGTGTATACATTAGTGGTATGCAAATGGTACTTTTGTATCAGTTGAAACATCCATTTGATGAAGTGAAAACCAGCTGTACACATTTGAAGTGTATTCATCACTGAAACATCTCTGATAAGTGAACATTACACTTTACTCATACCTTTAAGCAAAATATAACTTTACCAGCTCTCTGCTCAGCACACATGTACAAACATCATCTGACTTCACAAAAGACCTTATGAATTATTATGAAAATGAATAAATAAAAACAACATGAAACAGTACATTTTTAAGTCTTCAGTCTTCTTCCTCACTCAATGCAGAGTAGACTATTTGTCTTTATCTGTTCAAATCGCTTGTAATATGAATATAATTCTGCATTATCAGATGTTTGAGTGACACTATGTCCACAAACTAATGTATTTACCTGTGAGAAGTGAAGAGAGAATGATCAGTCCCAGCAGACACAGATCACACTGATCAGACATTTCTGCTTCTGTCCGTTTCTGTCCGTCTTTCTCATCATTAGATATAGTTACAGCCCCTCTTCATTATATATAGTTACAGCTCCTCCTCTTCATTATATATAGTTACAGTTCTTCTTTAAACATCGTCAGCTCCTTCTGTGGTTGGTTACTTCCTCTGATCTCATCAACTATAAGTGTTTAAATCCGTTGCTATGTAGTGACACATCCAGTATAACTTTGTCCTCTCTGTAGATTGGGCTCATATAAACTCTGAACTGTACAACACTGATGATTTTACTTTGTGGTATTACATGGTCTTGACTCTGAGTGACACTCAACTTTCGAAACTAGGCCATACTGCTTCAGCAATGTGAGCATATTATCACTGTTAACCTATTTTCCAGCTTTCAGTATGTATACTAATGACATATACTAAGAAATGATATTAAGAATAGGATCCATGACCTTTGAAAGCATCTTGTTTTGTTAAATAAGGTAGCTATCTGATCTGAGAACACGCATGAAGTTCATCGTAATGTAAAGGTATGTTGGCTCCATTGGATGCCCACACGGGTGTCATTTAGTGCTAGTGTAACAAACTTTTCAACAACTTGATTTAAAACTAACTTGTATTGAGGAGTACCCAGGCAGAAATCTATTTTTTTAAAATAAAGGCCCGTGTCTAATAAAACCAACAAAGTTCACTTTCAAATTATTAACTTGGTGTGCTTTAATTTGCGTGTTATTAGGGGGTTCATGCATGTAGCTCTATAACCCTTTTGTAATTGTTAAATTTTCCAAGGATCAGCAT